AATCATTCGCATTGATCGAGGCAGCTCGAGATAACTCTGTGATTAAGACGCCAAGTTACGGAATTAGTTTCGGACCCTACCTCAGTATCTCGACTGCTCCTGTCTGGGCTTAGACAGTGACAGTATCCATGCGCTCGTGCCTCCTTTCGTTGGCATGGTAGGTAGGCACTGAAGGGGTACTACAGCTGAACGATTACTATTACTTATTTATCGAGCTAGTACCCTTCGCCACACGGACATAGTGCTGTCGTACTGCCTCCCATTGCTAAACCTGTTAGCCTCATGGTTGTACGGCAGTGAAGCACCGGTGTTGAGCACTGATGTCATGCTCTCGATGATGATGATGATGATGATGATGACAGCAGAACCCTAACTTAACACAAAAAACGGGCAAAATTAACTTCAAGATGCAAAGCCTGTTTGTTTTAGCAAACGCCTTACCACGTTCAAAATGATTAGGTCGGAGACGTAAAGTTAGACGTAATTAAAATTTAATGAGTAGACGGAGTCCAAATACATTGCTTGAAGCCCAGATGACATTTCCGTGTAAGATAATGTCAGTGAATGCTAGGGCGGAAACTCCACAATTTCTGTTAATATTTATTCGTGAACACTCACAAGCGGATACTCTGAAGTGATCTTCAAAATATCGAGTGAGTCAGTCAAAATAAACGAGCGTTTATTTTATTGGTTTAGCTGAAAGTTGGCACTCACAAATTGGTTCCTTGAATGATGAAACTTGAGTTTTCGGTGACAGTAATTTTTTTACTTTCTCAATTCTTTTACTTGAGACATCAACTGAGCTTCATTCCTGCATTTGCAACCTTATGTCATGATGGTATAGGGGGCCTTCTTAAAACATGCGAGTTGGACAACCGTCCCACCAGCGCGCTTTTTCTTACAGCTATCACCTGATCATCATCATCATCCTCACCATCATCATCATCGACAGCATGACATCAGTGTTCAACACTGACGCCTCACTGCCATACAAACATGATTTATTCAAAGGCCATACTTTGAAGAAAAGAATAAAGGCGGGCGGGCAAGGGAATTAAGGCTTTCAATTACTCAACCATAGTTTCCATCGCTAGGGTAGCCACATCAGAATAACATCCTCTTGAGATGCAAATTCCATGGCTATCTTCTATTAGGAAAACGGTTACTTCAGGAATAAACTGGTGTTTTCTAGTTCCCTGAACATATTTTTTCTTCAAGAGGAGAATATGATTAAAAGTCTCTAATGCCTCGACCCAGGCTTATTAGTTGGCCGGAATTTCAGGGACAATGTTTCATACGACACTACGTCATACTATATCAGCCAATGTTTTAAACGACCAACTTAGTGAGTGTTTTTAGTGGACTCGGTCAGATTTGGGGTAAAACATCTCATAGTTAAAACCTTAACTGCGGGCAAAACAATTAAGAACTGAATAATACATTGCAATTTATCTCAGTATTTCCCATGGTCTAAAAGATTATTACTCTTTTTGGTATAGTATGTAACATGTTCTCGTGTTAACATAACGCGCTAAGGGGCTGCTATTAACGTTTAAACTGACGAAAGAACCACCATTTCCTGATAAATTTGACGACGGGATAGACAGCCAAAGTACAGATTCACTACGTCGTACCTTTGTGCTCTAGTCCAGGATAAGCAACGGTAATAAATAGCTGGAGGTATGAAATTGAAGAAGTAGAAAATGCTACCCAAACATCACGAAAGCTGTTAAAAAGGCAAAGATTCAATGAAAGTTTTAATATTTTCAAGGCAGAGAACAGTGACCTATCTTGGTTGGTCAATTTCATGACAGTACCTGGTTACGGACACCAAAAGTCCCCACTGCCGCTAACGTAATGTGATGCTCTTCCTACCTGCCCCCATAATAATTGTGGCCATCCGAAAACGCCGTAAAGCCACTGTTGAGTAGGTTCGAATTTTCACGAGTACTTGTACACTATGACGCAAAGGGAATTATGAATAGCGACCCATCTTTTTCAGATTTAAAGATCTCAGCTTTCTTGGCATGCGTAAATAAATTGATTAGTTCGTACAGGATGAAAAGAGATAGAAACAAACATGTGGAATATGTGTGTTCGTGTGTTTGAGTACACCGTAATTTTTATACATGTGTTCTTCTCTGTCGTCCTCAGATATCTTGGATTCGATCGAACTGGACAGTTTATTAGAAGCCAATGGTTGTTCTGGCGATGAGCAGGATATAACAGATATTATTGACCAGTTGGTGCAGAACGCCTTGAAGACCCCAGTTTTAGCCGACAGCATAGCCAATATTGAACTCTGGAGCCTAGGAAGTGCAAACCAATTGGAGGCGACACCAGTGGATGAAGGAATGAATAACTTTGAGCCTGACGCTATTTTAACCAAGGAAAGTGAGTTAAGTGCAAGCCTCAATGGAGCTTGGTTGCTGCCAAGTTCTGGGGGTATAATGACAACACCATCCACACCGATTACCACAGCACTTATGTGTGAGTCACATGAACAGGAAGATAGTGTTGTTTATCTAAATCACACAAAAGAAACGGATACCATCGGAGAGAATAAACTTCCTTTTACCATCATTGACCCAGACGAGGCAACTGGGGACAAACAGACGCAAAGCAATCCGCAGATTTTAAATCCACTATCAAAAAATCATGACATGAATGTCTTAGATCAGGGTTTTGATGTTAATAAGAGACTCGAGCCGATAAAGATACCACTAGTGCATGAAATCCTCCCCCGGCACCAAACAACACTTTCGGTCCGTATACCAACATGTTGTGACGAAGCAGCAGACGTGCAGGGAAACTTGGAAAGTAATGAGAGTTTTTCCTCCGTCGATAACCCACTACTTCCTAAGGGCGTTTTGAGGGAATGCAGAACTCTCGGCCACGTCGTAATTGATGAATCATCTGAAACGTACAAATACTTTGAGGATGTCGGGACAGACGCACCGACTGAGCAGCAGGATGCGACAGCCCCCATATATGTTTGTGCAGAGGAAAACAGCTTAGACACTGTCGGGCTAGTTGGTGAGTTCGCAGGCCGATCGAGTCCATTAGATCACCAGACTTTGGATTTTGGATATCAGATCGAGTCGGATGTTATAACAGATAACAAAAAGACCGATTGTGCAAGTCGTGGGGAAACTGGTGATAGAAAAGATAGTGAAAAGAGCAGGCAACCAATGTCTGGAACATTGAGGCGACGTACAGTCTCCCAACCGAATTTAGAGCACTACGTAAACTCAGACGGGTCATCATTAGGCGAATTCAACTCTTCGTTAGAAAAAGATACAACCATAGACTGTGTCCAACCCACTGCAGTGAGAAATATCGGCCAGCAGACCTTTGGTCATCCTGTCGTTCAAGTTGATGATTTAAGTTGCTCTTATGGGGAAGCAAGCGAAATTGCCAAGGCGCCAGTTAGTGTGCTAAATAATGATGCGGCGGAAAATTTCCACACTTCTCCCTCACACATCCAGGCACGAGCATCGTTTGTGGTCAACATCACGGGCACAGTGTCTTCAGCAGATTATCCGCTTACGATCGATGCTAAATGTGAAGGTAGTATACGTGCTCCAAATGTCAAAAGAAAACATACTAACACGAAAGAGTTAACGCAGTTAGCATCAATTGCTCCCGATCAATCTTCAGCAAACTCCTCGTGTTCGAGCTCGAGTGGTTCTGACTCACTTAGTGCCAGAGAAGATAGTGAAAATGCGGCAAACACAAGGCTGACACGTAACTACGCAACAAGCAGCAAAACACTAGGGAGCGCAAGCCAAAAACAGTATGGTCGCAAAAGGGACGAAGCTGGCGATATCATCATCCGGAAGAGTGTTAAGAAAGGTGGCAGTATGGAACCAGTGGAAAGAAATGAACCTGCAGTGTCAAATCTTTTGCAAGTATTGGAGTCGGTGGATGACATTGAACTAGTTCGAGTGGACGACAAATTTCCAGCTCATCCAGATCATAAGTTCAAAATGGTTCTTGATAGCTCAACTACTTTCCAAGATTCAAAAGTTGCTATTCCTGTTGAAAAGTGTTTGAAATCAATCACAGAAATGACAGAACTTTCCTGTTCGTCAGTATATGGAGATCAGCAGAATAACAACGAGACTAACGGCACTTCACTAAGTGAATCCAGCTCAGTTCTTCTGGAACGTCTGAAGACTCCAGAATCAGTTCGTGTTGACCATTTGGACGAATTATCACTGAGTCGGTATACAATGTGCTATTAACAGCGATGATCTTTTTGCCTTTTAATGCTTGGTACTACATTTTGTGTAAGGCATCTCAACTATTTTCGCGCCCAACCTATGAGTTCGGTTGACCTTTTGTGAATTTTTTCCATATTGGTAGAAATATGCCTTATTTCAATATGGAAGCGTTACTGTTTTGTTGCAGTAATTTTGTTTTCCTGAACGAATTCGGTTATTGTCCTGACTTTATTCCCACCCGAATTTAAACTGCCAAGTAAACTGTACCATTACTATTGTTATTATTTGGGATTGCTTTTCTTTTGTTTTCTACTATCATTTCATGGTGCTGAACAACAAGTCCTTCAGTGCGTCTCAGACGTTCATCTGAGATGGGCCAACTTAAGGTCCGCAATGCTACGCAAGAAACTCCTAGAGTCTGTGGCGATACCTCTGAGGAAGTTATTAACATAAGGTCAACCAATAGCATCGCTCGCCAATGACGAATCAATTAAAGTGATCCATTCTCCATACTTTGTGGTGATGCTGAGTGGAGTTTTCGCCTTGAGTTTACGAGCAACGCATATGTTTCAAATCTCCAACTCTGATGATAAATAAGATTCAAAAAGTAATCAAATCTACCGATGTAACAGTTCGTCTTCCTTTTGTGAAACTTTATCCACGAGTGCGCTAAACGGCATTTGCCAACATGTTGCCAACACGGAAGCATTGCGTATAGACACATCACTATATATATTAGGCTACTAAGAAGTTTAGACTACCGGTTTCACCTGTCTTAGGGAAAACGGCATAGAAGTAGCACTCGCGGTTTCATCAGCCTTATATTCTGTTTGGGAACAGACTGTACGTAGGCGAAGACATGTATCGCTATTCATATTTTCTTGGCAGTATCCTTTCCGTTTGACATTATATGGATGTTCCGCATACCAAGGAATTATTAGAGACACTTTTTTGTGCAGTATCCCAAGAAAGGCTGCGTAGTGCTCTCACAGAATCTTACCCTTATACATGTGCGAAATCGCTACAGTAACCACAGCTACAAGTTCTTTGTGCCCTTGCGCGAATGTTAGCTTTAGTCTTATGCTGTGCCACTGGACAGTCTAAACGAATTTTTTTATAACCGAGAAGTAGCCAGATTCACTTAATATGCATTGTGATGAAAATCTTTGCCCCAGTAACACTTTAAACGACGTTGTTTCTGGGCTACCCTAGAATCGGAACCCATATCCCCGTGGATGAGGAGGAAACTTGTAAATGCTCACTTTTGCATCAATTGGAATGAACGGTTCCACCCAAGCTGTGAATAAATAAACTGCGTCGATTCGCGATTGGTAAATCGTCAAAACACTTAGTTCATCTTCAAATGTCATTCATTTGGTATAGGATGGCGTTTGAACTGGGATAGTCACAGCGCCAACTCCAGCGAATACTCTTGTTTAAAAAAAACTGAATCAGTTTACAAATATCAACTTTTGGAACTCCCAGTTTTAACACAATGAAAACGTAGTCCTTAATACCTAACATCGCTGAAAAGAATAAGTAGTGCGTTAGGACGGAGTATTTTTGATGTACATCGACGCACTAAGTTATCCGACTAATCAGTAGGATGGCCAACCTGATGGGCGTCATTAGCCCTTTTCTTGGATGGCATGAAAAAAATAGACACCTACCTTCGAGATTTGTGAGGCAACTTCATTTTGGATCAAATAACCAATGAATATCAATAACGCAAGCCATCTGAGAGAGTGTTTCAAAACCGCTTACAGAGTATTAAATTCGGTTGTAACTTGTGCAGCATGATTAATCTTCCAAAACTTGGTTTCGTATGCAGTCACCTGACTGACTCAATATAGCTCAGTGACTCTCGGGGTAGCACGAATTATAGGCTTAGGTGACAAATAAAATCAACATATCGTTTTATGCCACTCAGGTAGGCTAACTAACTATGGCTGCCTGTGGCTTTCGATGGTAGTGGGTGATGTAGCGCCGTATACGAACCGGAGCTCTGCAAACCACCCAAGTGTTTCCAGACAAACTGACTTGAACCTGGTCCGCAGTTAGTGTTTTCATACAGTAAAGTATTGTATGGTACAGTGTAGCGTAGTTTCGTGCACAGCAGTAAAACGCGTTGCAGTGTGCGATGTTATAAATTAGTTTACGAGAAGTTGAGAAGCTCAATCATGATAACAATTAGTCTGTTCTGGTTGACATTTTCATCCAACCTTTTCACGATTGGGGCAGCTAAAGCATTGAGTGGGCTTAGGATTTAATCTTCTATCCACAAATGCCGTTTGTAAACGTTTATACCGGAGCGTGGCACACGAATATTTTGATGGCCTATTGAATGGCCTTCATCCATTGCGTGAGTTTGTTTGATGGTTCATCAGGCGTATTCCAGTTTAAAGGACCACATACGGTTTTATTCCATTCCAAAGTGTTTTCATTTTTTTGGAGTAGAGGGCCTGACAGCTGCATCACTACGTCAGTTGAAGGCAGGAGTTGTTTTCAGGATAGGAATCTTATTTCCCCATAAAGTTTTTGTGCGGTTTCGTCCTCACAAGTGCATACACAAATATCACCTTTCCTAATATAACCTATCCTAAACAGGAGCCCAAATAAATTCTGGTTGTCTGCGCATGAATACATTTACTTCGGGTCATCTGTATCTGCAGAAACTTTTCCATATAACAAGCTTCCGTGCGATCATGTTTGGGTGCTTTTGCATGCGACTGAGCTCTCAAGTTCGAATGTAATTTGCCGGTAGTGCGACATCACAGTAGATCTACTGAGATAAAGTTCACAGACGGGCACAAAATGTAGGTTTTAGGCTAAAATTAACCAAGAATGGTAAACAGTTGCTGAAAACTTAGTGAAGAATTTTCAATGCATCACATTATACCAGAAGCGTTACTGTGAAATTATATTTGCTACATTCATTTTCGAGAAACGTCAATGGAGCGGTCATGTGCTCTTGTTTGCAATCACCTGGATGTTGCTCACAAATTAAGGTTAGGTCTGTACAAAGGGACAGTTAGCGTAAAACTCTCGACTTTTTGTAATGTAGAAAAACAGGTGACTGAGGTGGTTCCGAAGCAGCACCGAACGTCTGTCTTTCACTACCTAGTCAAAATGATCATTTTATTCCAAGACAACAACTACAGATTCTTGCCTTTGCCGTCCGTCGAAGGGAAACTGTCAGTATTAAGAATATAGGTAAACATTGGGTGGCAGGAATGCTAACAGAAATTCATTGTCTGATACATCAGTATTCTTCCATCTTTCCTGCCGCCAGTATGAGATGTTAATCATTCGGGTGTGCAGAAAAGCATCATAAGCCAGGGAGACTCATTCAAGAGCCATATTATTCGAATACCGTAAAGAATTCAATGTCCGCTTTCGGGCGCCAGATCATTGAACCCAATGAGCTGTGAGTCCAAGGCCAGAATTATCATTTAGTTGTTAAACCTCACGATTTCACCATGACGACGATGAAACTCTTTCGAAATCAGTTCGCTTACCCTCCGTTCAACTTTGAACGCACCGAACTTTCAACTATGCGATCTCCGTATCAAGATAGTTCAATGTAAATAACCGATGATTTCTCATGGCTGCTTCGCTTACTGGCCTAATGACACGGGACATTTCACTTAATCGTACGCCGCCAAACATATAAATGACTGTATTCAACATTGACGACAATCTTTGATGAAGACCATTATCATCGTTGCGCCTCTCGTGGGACAACCTGGAAATAAATCCCAAGGAGTCCGGCTAAAAACAGAGTTTAAAACCTCATACAAACCTTCTCTACTACATTTTATTTTATTTTTCAAGTAACATGTTTGGGGCAGTTACTACTATAATTGACCATACCGCATTTCTTTTAGCTTTCTTCGCAGTGGTTTACCAAGTTTAATGTCACGAAATATTACTTTGAGATCTGATTTGCTTCCAGTCGAATGTGAGACAGGGTAAACAGTAAAGGGTTCGTTCGGTTGCGAAAGATTCTCGAGGTTTGTTTAACGTTCACTAGGCGGTATCCAGTTTGCGAGCTAGTGGTAATGTATCACAGGTTTCCTGAATTAGTCTAATTAAGCTACGGCAGCTGGTATTAAACTTCTTCTTTGCAATCTCGATAACAACTCCAACGTTGTTCACCAGCTGTAGAAATTAGTCAGCCGATGCGCGTTCCGCAGGTAACAGCTCAGGACTGTTAAATAAGGTTACATGTGCCCGAACCATATACGTCAACACTTCACTTGTAGTTGTATTCTTAGCGGACTTCGATCTTGCGACGATAGTAATGAGTTGTCCTGGAAGTCTACAATGACCCAGATGCTTACTTGCATGTGGTTACTTTTAAATCATTAAACAATTAGTGCCTTGCTTGCACAGCGGGAGTAAGCTGACAAATGTTGAGTGGCAAAAAGTCTACGCTCTGGTGACGGGTTAGGTTTGAAAATGTAGCGATCATGTATTGCCAGGTTTTGGTAGTTTGTAAATTTACTGCAAATGTACAGCCGCCTTCCAGCGAAGAAGATAATGGTTTTCAGTCTTAACACCCGCCAGCTAAAGTAATGCCAACGGACACAACCGAATAAGACAATCTACAGCCTAAAACTTCCCGCCAGTCCAAGTGGCTCTTCTGGCAGTCACCTGTAAAACGTACAGGAAACGCAAGGCAACAAATTTAAATATCGAAAAGACTGCCCTTATTATATCTCTGTCGTGTGGTTTGCGGAGATTTTGTTCTTTGAGAATCTCAAAGCACACCAGGCTGATCCCATCAATGACACTTTCCCTGATAATATTCTCCGGCAAGTTTGATCCACTATGTAGACACAATGCGTCGGACCACTGTCCTATCAACTACGCTTTTTTCACCGGATTATTGTTTCCTCATATTTTTGCTGCGCTCATGTTCCTGTATTTATTGCCAGCATATTGTTGTTAGCACTTACTTAGTTTTCATTAACGTACGAGACACAATTGGTTAGAAACAATGTGCAGTGAATCTAACTCCGGCTGTAGCCATCTCCAGCTAGTTTGCCGATTTTTGAATAAAGAGCCACCTGAGAGCATAAACACCGGCTGATAGTTTTCTTTTACCCACAAAGAATGTGGAGAGTAGTAACAATAGAATCCCAGCCTTGATTTCATATCTGCATCTGTGATCAGCCAGATTTTGGACACTTCGGCCTCAACACATTGAACTGCGTATCAAACCTACTTAGAGGCAAATATTGAAAAGTGCTTTTTCTT